GTCATAAATAAACTTCCATTTACATACTTGCTTGTTTTTCATGGAAGCAAAGTACATAGTCAAACTAGTTCCGCTATGATAGAGCCCCCCACCCCCACAACACAAATGGGTACCGCATTGTAACAGTAACTCCATAGAGTATCAACCTCCAATAGAACAACATAATTCAAACTTTGCAGGCATAAGAGCAGCAACATTTAACCAAATGCATTCATATATATCAACAGACCCAGACAATATTTATCAAGGCATCAACAGGAATCCTAAACCACTACTTAAATGCACTCTACTTCAACAATAGAGGTTTTGTGTCCCAGTTCAAGGTCAACTGGATTACATGTCCTATGGTGCACTGCACTACAGGAATCAACGAGACGATGTTCTAAAAACATAGAATATCCAAAGACATTTTAGCACAAACTAGAGAGGCATAACCCGTTAATCCATACTTAACATTCAGAGCAGCTAGAGCTCATTGAAAGTAGCAGGCACTTAAGGAAATGAACTGAAGCCAGCTGGCAAGCTCGCATTTCAATTATTCCGAAGAAAGTTTTGAGGCTAAGAACTTCTGGACGACATGCAAGTTAAGTGAAATGAATCACTATGGAATTATGCATACGGACTCTAAGACATGCAACAATGATCAAAAGAAATAATTCTACTACTCACGATTTGGGAAGAAAAAAGATACCCATTGAACAGACGGTCACATTTAGCTGTTGCCAACAAAGATGGCTGACAGACAGTAAATGCCTAACGGGTTTCTTCCTCGCCCATTTTTTCCCTTATCCTTTTGCAGGTGAACGAGTGAGACGGAAGGATACCAACCAAGGTGAACAAAATAAATAACCAAGGCAATTGAAAGTTAAGAACTTCACAAAAGCGAGCAACCATAATGTGGCAGTTGACATCCATACTCAAACCTAACGAACTCAACAAAGAAACTAGGGGATGAAAAATAAAAACCCTCGAAACTATTAACCAAAAACAAACGTGAAGAAAGAAGAAAAATTCATGGGATCACCTTAGAGAGCTCGAGAAGAGCGTTCTCTCGAAGGTCGGGGTTGCTCAGCTCGAGAACCAAGTGCTCGGCAGACGCCATTCTCCGTTCCTTTCCGGCCGGCGCCCCTGCGGCGCCAGGGTTAGGGCCGCCAGGTCCTCCGAAGGGAGCATTCATGGAGAGCGAATTAGGAAGGTTCGCCATTTTTGTTTCCCTCCAAAAAGAAACAGAGAAAACCTGCCCCTGACTGATTCCCCTCTGTATCGAGCGATTCTCGCCGGCGGACTCCGATCGATGGGTTTATAAATGCAAATCGCGATTGCTCCTGAGCGACTATGGAAATGAGTTGAATTGGAAGTTCATTTATGTGAATTGAATTGGGGGGATTGAGTTTCTCTTACGGTGGTTTTCATTTTTGGAAGCATACGAGACACGTGCTGTACATGCGCGTGGTATTTGAACACTTGTTTGCGTTTTCCGTTTTTTTGGGTACACACTACAAGGCCACAACCGTTTGCTGGCGGATCGGTTGCATATGGGCCAGCAGTACACGGGGTCTAGTGATGGGCTTTCGGCCTATATGTAACTTGCGAACCTTTATCCACGGCCCACCTCAACTGAGCCTCGGAAGTCAACATTCACAAGTCACAACTCACAAGAGTCACAACCCATCAAAGTGAAATATTGTAGAAAGATAACTGTTTTGGCAACAAGAAATGTGAACATTAGAAACAAAGAGAGCTTCTTCATTCAGAAGTACCAACACATTTTACAACTGAATTACAAAAAGAAGCAAGAGATGGGAGTGGAAGAAATGTAGTATGTGTCTATAGCTTCTTCCTCTAGACACTAAGAGCTGATGGGAGAATACTATAGTAATCAATCTCATGCCTTGTCATTTCTCTCAACTAGCACAGGGCCCGAGCCTTTGGTTGGAAGAATTTTGTCGATAAATATGATATATGTAATTAATATAAATATATAATAGATAATTTGAAATACATGAAATGAGACCATCTACTATCGACGGTGGGAAGAAGGAAAAGAAGGGTCGTTTGCAAAGAGGACTCACAGTGGGGGTTGAAAAAGAGGGAAATAAGGTTTTTTTTGCTGGGTTTCCCCTACAACGGGACAAAAGGAGGGGAGTGGACTGGCGGGGCCTGCGTGTCAGAGTTGTGTTTATTTTTACTTTTTCTTTTCCTTTTTAGTTTGGGTTTTTTAAAATCGTAGATCGTTTTCAATGCGACCTAACTATCAGAATTAAATTCCAACGGACATATTTTACAATAACTATATTTTTCAACAGCCATAATTGGTCATATTTCGTCGAGAGGATTGTGTGCGGGCGATACATGCCACTACCGTCCAAGGCGGGTTAAGGTGCGAGTGCCAAGAATGGAGGCAGATGCAGGAGAGTATGGTTCTTTCTTTCGGATGCGGGAAGGATATGTCAGAAAGAGGGAAGGAGGACGGTTGCAGACGGCGAAAGATGGACAAAAATTCTGTCTAAATGGGTTGCCAGGTAAGCTCTTGAAATCGCTCTAAAAGCAGAAAATTTTGAATTGGAGTTGCAGTTTAAAGTTTCGACTATAAATGATGTTGTTGATCAGAACTGACGCTCTGCAACCATCAAATGGACGGCAGTACCAATTACTATCGCAGTGGTTCTATGAAATGAACGTGCCATAACCTATTGCCAGTCACAGCTGTACGTGGGCACCGGCCCGTGCCGCTCACGGGCTAACACGGCACGAGCACGGGCACTAAATAAATGGGCCAGCCAGGCACGAGCACGAATAATTTATGGGCCGTGCCGGGCCTAAACTGCATGGGCACGGGCACGACACGGTATATAAGTGGGTCGTATCAGGCCTAATATTTTCGAGACTTTATTGAGTATAAGAACGGACATAGCACAAAAATAATATTTATTTGATAGAAAATAAATATAAAATGAATTATAGGTTCAAATATTACAAAACTCAACTAAAAAAATAATTGTTTGTTGTTCTTAGAAGTGTCATAAAGATATATACGTAATTATTAACATAAGTAAAAATAGACAAAGAATTAAACAAAGCCAAATCACACTCGCTATACTTCCAATTTTCTTTTCCCCTTATTTGTTACTTTTCTCAACCATTATCGATAAATACTATCTTCCCCATCCAATTTTCACATTCTTTTTCATTCTCTCTTTTGTTTCCGTCCTTTTCATCTACACAATAAATAAAAGCCAAATGAGAAAACTTGAAGCCCCATTTCAAATTTCTTGCATCCAGAGTGAAAGTAGGAAGGGCATTTTGGTCTTAACAATTACTTTTTTTATTCATTAAAAAGACACTTACTAGGATTCGAACCATGACCACTTTAAAGAAAAGCAAAGATCATAACCAATCACACTAAGTACATTTGTTGTATTTTTTTAAATTAAAAACATATAATGGCAGAGAGGAAAAAACCCTTCCCCTATTTCAAATTACCTGCTCGAGGAGCGTTTGTAGGAAGGGTAGAATAGGGAGTGCCAATTTTTTTCTTTTTCCTCTGTGGAACGAACCAATTTACCGTACACATGTGGATTTAAACGGGTCCAGGAGTGTCAATTTTTTTTCTTTAAGTCCTTTTATTTCTCCGTGGTGGTAAAATATATATGAAAAGGCAAAACAATACTCCTTTTTATTGCTATAAAGAAAATAATTTAACAATAAACTAATGCATGGATTCTAATGGGCTAACCGCTAATCATAAAATAAAAGAGTTGAATGGGACTGACCTACACGAGATTTGCCCATCAAGTAAAACAAATTAACATCATGGGTTTGCCATTCTAAAACAAGCTATTTTCTCTAGCATAATATATACTATGTTATTATTTTATATCTTAGTGGCTAAAATATAATGTATTTTAAAGTTATTCAATGGTTCAACCTCGATCAACCCAATTAGTCCAATTTTTATCATTTCAAATATATATTATGTAATTATTTGATATCATAATGATTAAATTATAGTGTATATTATAGGGAATTGTTTGGTATTTGTTAGTAAAAAACTAAACATAAAGATCTATTTGGTTATTTTTAATATTAAAACGATCCTAAACATTTTCAGTTTTCTTTCGAAATTCTATAGTTTATTCTCGAATCAGTGATGTGCAAATGGCGAATTGCAGTCATCTCTTTTCTTTCATTATTTTTTATTTTCAAATAGAAAAGTTTAAAAGTACAGAATAATAAGAGTTTGGCATGGGTCGGTCAAACATGCTGAATTTCAAGTTTTGGCCCGTTTTGATCAAGTCTAATTTATAATCACATGGTTCCCTGATACACGATAAAAATCTCAATTTAAACCAGTTTGGCAGGTGAGTCCGTGTTTACCACCATTTTCTAGGGATACAGGAACGGTAGTTCCTATCCCAAATCGTGTTGTTCATTCTTTAGATTTTATCATGGCTTGGCAAAAAACCAGAAAGCACAATGATGGCAAGATGAAAGTTTTATAAAGCAAATTAATCGGCCAACGGGCCGAGTAAAAGCTAGCAATGATTGTGAGATGCTCATTTCCCGAAAATTGGCAGGATAGACAATTTTTTATTCGATTTTCTGGAATTCGGTTTGTATAAAACTTACTCCACCTCATCATATTACCAGAAAGAATATTGTTTCATAAGGTAACAGGTCCTTGATTTTGGTTCATAAGACTGATTTTTGATTCGTTGCATCATTCATGTCTTTTTCCTACTAAAATTCACTATTTTTATCACGTGTTTCCAAAAAAAACTATACAATAATAAACTATACACCCGATTATATTTTCATATTTCATATTTCACCTTCCTCCGGCCAAATGGCCGGGGCCACGCTAGTTAAACAGGAATACGAGCATGACACGAGCACGATTCGAATCGTGTCCGGCCCTGGACCGAGTCTAACAAAGTTATTCCGTCCTTTTCATTAAACAGGAATACGAGCATGGCACGAGCACGATTCGAATCGTGTCCGGCCCTGGACCGAGTCTAACAAAGTTAACAAATAGGCTTGTATAACATGACACAAAAAATGACGGACCGTGTCAAGCACGGCACGAAATAAATGGACCCGAAGCATGCCCTTGCCGTGCCAGCCCAGCTCCCATGTACAGTCACAGCTCACAAATCAAGTCCAATAATGACAAAAAAGAGGTAGTCCTTTTCCTCATCCTCTTTTTTTCTTTGAAAGCCCAACATAAAACTACCCCCCTTGCAAGAAGACAGTTTGTCTTTATAAACATATATTCTATCTTTATCTACAGCCCAAATAGAAATTAAGCTCAATAAACAAGTTGATGTAGGCTTCATCCTTTGAGATAGAAGGCTGTCAACATAATAGGTAACATTCAGAACCCAACTCCATCGCCAGACAATCAATTGATAAGCATCCACAAGAAAGGCCAGCCAGCTACAACTACCAGCACTTTCACTCCTTTTACTTCTATCCTAGAGTTAACACCACCAACTCCAAGGTAGACTCGACCTCATTGCAGTTCCAGATTGATGATTCTAGTTTACCAACATATGCTCAAATCCTCCACCACCCTGAAGTCCAGCAGGAACGCGGTTCACCCCGACATTGTGAAGCAACTGTTGCAGCCATCGCCTTGTGGTCGGATCTTCCTGCAAAGCCTCATGTAACAGCAATTACAGCTCAATTTCCGTCCTTCAGGGAGAAAAGAAAACACAGAGATGTGAAAAGGGGGGCTTCTTACGCGAAGGCAACTGTTGAAGGTAGCATCCCTAAGCATTTCTGGCAGGCAACTCCTTAGTGCATCACACGCCCTCAGGTTGTCGGATAGTCGAAGGTAGCATCTGATGATATGCTTCAGCAACCTAGGAGATGGCTGCTCAGAAAGTGCCGTCACCATGTTGCCCAGAACTCTTCCTACCGCGAAAAACCTTTCTGCTGTAGTGCAGATGTAATCAAGACCCACGTCGTCCAGTAATATCTTCTGAACTATAAATGTCGCGACCTGCCATCAACAGGAACGAGCTTCTCGCTGTCAGTTTCCTACGGCACAACTATTGTGAAAAAACAAAAGATGAGAGGGGCTTGCATCCGTTGTTTGGATGGGAAAAGGATGACCACACCCTTTAGTAAATATATTAAGAAGGCATAGAATAAGGGCACCAACCGTCTTTGACAATTCACTCCCCATTTCCATGGTACGCAGACACAAGGGGATTATTTCAGTTGACAGAAGGAAACTAATGACTTCAGTGTCATCCACCTGGCAAATTTAAAGAAAATTTTGTATGATGCTGCAGCAGTGCACGAATTTTAGATTGCCCGTAGGATTATCAGCAATCAAAGGTAGATACAATGGAACAGGAGCAATCAGAAATACCTTCACCAAAGCACCAATGACACCTAAACTAGTAAGCCTCAAGTACTCAAAAGGTCTGGACTTGTTTGTTGTGTTGAGGAAAGGGTACAGATAGAGAGGTATATGAGCTGCAAATCAACAGTTTCAGAATAGAAAGGAGCATGTATAAGAAATAATTCAAAGAGCTTGCTTAAGGAACTAGCATCTCTGGAGAGATACATTGCTACAGTACTGGATAAAGGAAATACATATGTCGTGCGGGATTATTGCACGGGTGAGTGAAGAGGCAAGAGTATTACCATTAAGGAATAACATCCTTGTGTCTGGATGAGAGGCAACACACTGTAGGGAACAGAGAAGATTATGAAGCATTAGCAATACTCTCTTAATTAAGCAAACCACAACTCAAGTTACCCAATAGGTATTAGGAAATCTCTTTACCCACTTGACAAGGTAAAAAGAAAGAAAGGAAAAGGGAGGTGTTTCTTCAGGAAATTTGAATGACCTCCAACAAACCATGTTTTCTAGTCTAAACCCTTTAACTTACATACTCAGAATAATGTCTAAGGTACTTAACCGCAAACATGTCGATTTTGATTTACTGTTTTCAAAACAATTATGCGTTCAAGGACCTCTCTGTTAAAAGCAATATAGTTACTTGGCAGAACTTATCTTCAAAGATTGGGCATATAACATATGGATATTTTCAGCCCATGCAAGCAAAAAGTGGTCATTGTATTGACTCACGATTATGTTAACAGTGTATATGTTGGAAATGAAGAGAAGCGCAGTAACAGTACACAAGGTCAGAGAAGTGAACATAATCACCATTCAAGACTGAAGTCAAACAACAAAGCATCTAACCTGAAGCAGAGCAAGGGCATTGCAGACCCTATTTGATTGAGCTGGGCTTAAGTTTGGTGGAGACAGAACAGGATATATTGAAACTATTTCCTGCAAGTAGGAACGAACAAATGAGTATTGCCCAAAGATGAAACGTTTAAATTGCTTAACAATTGGCAAATTGAAGTGTGTGGTACCTAATGAAAACAAGCATACACAGGTCCTGAATATTTTGACATAGGTAATTGATTTGGAGTATTTTCAATACAAAGCACTTGAAGCATAATTAGCATCATGGAGTTGATAAATGGAAAGAAGCAACATCATGTTTAAAGCACATTGCAATTTAATAATAAACATTATAAAACTCAGCTGGCGCCCCAGTGATCCTTATCTGTTTACAAGGACTCTACTAGCGTGATATACCAAGGTGGATCATTCAACCCAGTACTAACCTCAACTACATGTCGATGGGAGGGAAAGTAGTGGTATTAAGGCATTCAAACATAAGGTAAGTATTCATATATGTAGGACATCAAGATTTCATCTACTAGCCACATCCACTACATTTGGCCAAATGTAGCAGGGAGAGTATCGATCACAGTTAAAGGCTTTTGCGTCAGACCATGACAACAGAAACTAAGCAAAACAATTGCAGAATGTTGTGGGGCATTCTATAAACACAAAAGTAGATCCAGAAAGTTCTGATATGGTGTGAAATATGTAAAACAAGGAAACTACATATAGATCGTTTACCTGCAAAAGTGCAGCAATTGTACCAAAGGAGTTCCACAGCAATGGAGCCAAATCCTGAAATAATTCCCTCTTCTGAAAATATCAACACAGGAAAACAGGAGTTTGTTAGGAACATTTGCACAGCATCTCATCAAGAAAAATGAACCACCTCTAACTTACAAATGCAGGTACATCTATCCAATTGACTGCAGTCCTACAGCTAGGAAAAACGATTGGCAGAACATTTACCTTAAATACTAATGTCATAAATAAACTTCCACTTTCATACTTGCTTGTCTTTCATGGAAGAAAATTACATAGACAAACTAGTTCCGCTATGCTAGAGGCCCCCACAACCCAAATGGGTACCGCATTGTAACAGCAACTCCCTATAGTATCAACCACTAAAAGAACAACATAATTCAAACTTTGCAGGCATAAGAGGAGCAACATTTTACCAAATACATTCATATATATCAACAAATCCGGACAACATCAACTGGATTACATGTCCTAGGGTGCACTGCACTACAGGGATCAACGATATGATGTTCTAAAAACAGAAAATCCAAATATATTTTGGCACAAACTAGAGAGGCATAACCCGTTAATCCCTACATAATATTCAGAGCAGCCTAGAGCTCATTGAAAGTAGCAGGCACTTAAGGAAATGATATGAAGCCAGCTGGAAAGACATTGAAATTCCGAAAGACACTTTGACCCGAAGAACTTCTGGACGAAATGCAAGCTAGGAAGTGAAATGAATCCCTATGATAACATGCACACGTGACTCTTAGACAGGCAACAATGATCAAAATGAAATATTTCTACTACTCACGATATGGGAAGAAAAAAGATTCCCATTGAAGAGCCGGTCACATTTAACTGTTACCAACAACTATGGCTGACAGACAGTAAATGCTTAACGGGGTTCTTCCCCTCCCTTATTTCCCTTTTCCTTTTCCATTCAACGAGTGAGACGGAAGGACACTAAGGTGAACAAGATAAATCACCAAGGCAATTGAAAGCTCAGAACTTCACAAAAGCTAGCAGTCATGGAAAAAAAAATGTGGCAGTTGATATCCATACTCAAACCTAACGAACTCAACAAAGAAATAGTGGGAGGAAAAATAAAACCCTCGAAACTAGTACCCAAAAACTAATATGAAGAAAGAAGAAAACTTCATGGGATCACCTTAGAGAGCTCGAGAAGAGCGTTCTCTCGAAGGTCGGGGTTGCTCAGCTCGAGAACCAAGTGCTCGGCAGATGCCATTCTCCGTTCCTTTCCGGCCGGCGCTCCTGCGGCGCCAGGGTTAGGGCCGCCAGGTCCTCCGAAGGGAGCATTCATGGAGAGCGAATTAGGAAGGTTCGCCATTTTTCTTTCCCTCCTAAAGAAGCAGAGAGAACCTGCTCTGATTCCCCTCTTTCTCAAGCGATTCTCGCCGGCGGACTCCGATCGATTGCTTATAAATGCAAATCGCGATTGCTCCCGAGCTCCTATGGAAGTGAAGATTGAAGAGGGAGAGGGTAAAGGGATTGAATTGGAAGTTCATTTATGCGAATTGAATTGGGGGGATTGAGTTTCTGTTACGGTGGTTTTCATTTTTGGAAGCATACGCGACACGTGCTGTACATGCGCGTGGGATTTGAACACTTGTTGCGTTTTCCTTTTTTGGGTACGCGCCACAAGCCCACAAGCCCACAACCGTTCGCTGGCGGATCGCTTGCATATGGGCCCACAATAAATACACGGGTATTTTGCTGGACTTTCAGCCTGTATATGTAAACTGGAGACCTTGAACCACGGCCCAACTCGACTCATAAGTCTCGCCCGAGAAAGTAACATTCATAGCCCATCAAAGTGACATTACTTGATAGCTCGGAGTCCAGATTGTAGTAGGGGGTGGGGGTTTGGTTTCAATTGTCCAGCCAAATCAGAAATCGACAGTATAACTCGAGTGGTTAACGTCAGAAATCGTGTATAGCACGATTAGTCTGGGATATGATTGTGAGAGAGGACAAATTTATTGTCTAAATCTGGTTCGGTTTAAAATTAAATAAATCGAGATAGACAAGATAACTCACCAAGCCCCAGCTAGTTCTTCAAATGTCATTGTCCGCCATGATTCACAACAAGGCCACAAGCCCCAGAAGCCTAGCTCTCCTTTGTAAACTCGTTTACAACCTCAGCCTAGACTCACTACATATCCCTCTAATGTGAAATTTTCAGAGGCAGAGACCCTAACCCTCATTCGTAATTCAATCTCGGTCCCTCTGAGTCCCATCCTCTCATCTTTACCCACTTCACTCCGAGTCTTGAACGACCCATCATCCACCGTACAGCATCATCCCAAACCCAACCCTCATCCTCTCACCCCAAACCTGACGACTGAATGTCAACCACGATGATGAAAAAGCCACGATGGTGGCAAACAGTCGAATCTCTATGATCCCTCTCTGATAAATAATCTCGAGTACCAACCCTCTCCCCGCCCCTCCCCTCCCTAATCTATATCTAGCACTTGAATTTATCTTCAAGACTTCCAATTATCGAGCTCGTTAGGTATGACAGTTTGGACCTTACCTGTCCTATCCTATCTGTTCGACCTGTTTAGGGCGGGGAGGGCATGTGTAGTCGCTTCAATATTTTAGTTGTCCCCAGCTAGTGTGCCTTGGCACCTCAAGCCTGATGACCAAATTTATTGTCCCCGACACAAGTAAAGGCTTGCATTAGAAATTGTAACTACAAGTATCTTACCTAAGAAATCAAAATGACATGAATACGAACACATAATAAGAGCATTCAAATCGAAAGTAACAAGAATGATATTAAAATGGGCAAAAATAAAAATAAAAACATCTCGTCGCAATATTTATTGCTAGTAAAACAATACTCACGTAGGATTGCGAAAGACAATTTAGGTCATTTTAGCTTATTCCTCTGCTAATAATGTAGCTTATAAGATGATTACTCGCATCTCTAATTAAACTACTCATAAAATGACACGTGAAACCCTAATTATATCTCTTTAAAATCAATGTATCTCCACTTTAGAATCTTGCGTTAGTATGATGTTGAATTGTATTTTTGTTCTCTCTCGACATCCCTAACGAGATCAAGTGGGATTTGCTCGAATCATTTCATACCATGGAAAGAAATCAAACTGACACGAATACAAGTAGAAAACAAGAGAATTGACATCGAAAGTATCAAGAACGATGCTAGAATGTGCGGAAATTAAATACACATCCCATCACATATTTATCTCGAGTAAAATGACACCCATGCAAGATCGCCCAAAGACAATGAATATCAAATTGACTTATTCCTCGACAAAAAAACGCAGTATATAAGATATTTACACTAATCTCGAATTAAACTACTCGCAAAACCCTAATAGTATCTTCTTTAAAATCAATGTCTCCCCACTTTAGAATCTTGCGTTGGTATGATGTTGAATTGTAATTTTATTCCTTCATGACATCACTAATGAGATCAAGTGGGCTACCTCGAATCATTTTATATCCATAGAATATATGGAATCTTTTCTTTGTAAATATAGAATATATGAAATTTCTTTAGTAATATCAAATATGCATGGTGCATTATTTTTTGTCTATGAATGGGCAAAAGGCGGTCGTTTTATTTATTTATTTTTTATTGGAAGGGGACCTTTCCTCTGCTCCGGCGGCAGCCAAATAAGGCCCAAAACAGACGGGTTATTGCCTTATTGGCTTGTCCGCAGAACGACTACAAAAAAAATCTCTGCGGCTCTCCGTCGTCCCACGGCTATAAGAACACACCAATTTCCCCCAAAAAAGCCCACCAGATCCCACCACAGCCACTCGACCTTCCCTTCCCTCACGGCCAAACCACAGCCACAACCACCACTCTTGGTTTCCTTATCTTCCCCTCCTCTATATCTCTTCCGCTCCATTCACCTCTCTCCATACCCGCAAAAACGTAAAAGCATCAAAAACTCTCTCTGAATCCATCTCTCAAACCCGTCCCGCAGCAACCCTTTTCCCCCCCAGTTCTCAGAATCTCTCTCTCCTTGTGGTGGCGAAGGCGGATTTTGATTTGCTCTGTTCTGGGTTCTTGTTTCTCGTGCGTGTGATTCAGGGGGAAGCTTGATTGGAAAAGGGAAAGTGGGTTGCCAAAGGGTGTGGATTTGATTTGATTTTTGGGGGGGTTTTCGTTTTTTTTTCTTCTTTCATTTCCCTGTAGGAAGAAGGAAAGCTGGAAGGATTTTCAGGGGATAATTCCAGGGTAGACAAGTTGCAGACATCACGGCTATTCACGGCGTAACTCGGCCTCTAATCCATGTCCGTTCAGTGCGTCGCAAGCTGGATATAATCCAGAGCAACCCTTCTGCGCACGGCGGCCGTGGAGCTTTGCCTTCGGAAGGCGGGAGCCCTTCCGATCTCCTCTTCCTCGCCGGCGGTGGTTCCCTCTTCCCTTCCTCTTCTTTTTCCTTTTTAGTGTAGGATTTAGGATATTTCTCGTTTCCTTTTTCGCTTCGGAAAGCGCAACAAAATAGAAAGAGTATATATAGGAGGAAGAATCATTCGAGTATATTGTTTAAGATCCTTTGTGGGCCGTAGAGAATTTGTGAAATTCCTTGTGTGAGGTCAAAAAAAGAAGCGAAAGGATGATGCTTAGAATCAAGAGGGTTCCTACCGTTGTGTCGAACTACCAAAAGGACGAAGGCGAAGACGCTGCCCGCCGCGGCGGAGGTTGCGGCCGCAATTGCCTTCAGAAGTGTTGCATTCCAGGTACTTGTGTTGAAATGCATTTGCTGCTCTATTGTTCAAACATTTTGCCGCGACAAGGTTCAGTTATTGAGGCCATGAGTTCATGTTTCTTTGTTTGCATGAACAGGGGCAAAGCTTCCTCTCTATACTTTCAAGAGGGCGGAGGAGATTCCTGGCGACAAGTGTGTTCTTGAGCATGATGATAACCAGGCTCCTGTTGCATTCTTGGACTCCCTCCTCCTTGGACAGGTATGATAATTTTGTCTTTGGTCAAATAATGATGATTGATTGAACAAAGTTGCGTGTTTGTTTTCTGTTCTCGGACTTACGATGGTTAAATCGTTGTATTTGTTGGGATTCCAGTGGGAGGACCGCATGCAGCGAGGACTGTTTCGCTATGATGTCACTGCATGTGAAACCAAGGTACTGTTTCTTTCTTGCATAACGCAATTCCTTTGATAGTTTATTGAGTTCTCGGGTAGTGGGGTTTGATGATTGATGCTGAAGTTTCTTTCTTTAATGTTTCAGGTGATTCCTGGCCGATGTGGCTTCATGGCCCAACTGAATGAAGGTCGTCACCTGAAGAAGAGGCCAACTGAATTCAGGGTTGACAAGGTTCTTCAGCCCTTTGATGGGAACAAGTTCAACTTCACTAAAGTTGGGCAGGAGGAAGTGCTCTTCCAGTTTGATGCGAGCGAAGATGGTGAAGTCCAGTTCTTCCCAGATGCTCCAGTTGATGCTGACAGTTCTCCTAGCGTGGTTGCCATCAATGTAGGTTTATTCATTTAGTTTGCTCACAAGTTCTTATTGCTATTTTTAGCCCAGAGAAGTGGTTGCAGCGGGATGGAGTACTGAGGCACTGTCATTTGATTGTTTACAGGTTAGCCCTATCGAGTATGGGCATGTGCTGCTGATTCCGCGTATCTTGGAATGTCTGCCTCAAAGGATTGATCGTGAGAGCTTTTTGCTTGCACTTTACATGGCAATTGAAGCTGGGAACCCTTACTTCCGCTTGGGTTACAACAGTCTTGGTGCATTTGCTACCATCAACCATCTTCACTTCCAGGTTAATATTTGGTGTCCAGCTATATATATGATTTCTGAAGCTACTGCTGCATTTATCTATGAAATATCGACAATCGTTCTAAACCATGATGTTTTTTTATAAATCTTCTGCAATAGGCTTACTATTTGGCTGTGCCATTCCCGATCGAGAAGGCTCCTACCAGGAAGGTGACAACATTAGGTGATGGAGTGAAAATCTCTGAGCTCTTTGATTATCCGGTCAGGGGTCTCGTCTTTGAAGGTGGGAACACTCTCCAAGACTTGTCAAACGCCGTCTCTGATGCCTGCATTTTTCTTCAAGATAACAACATTCCACACAACGTCCTGATTGCTGATTGTGGAAAGCGCATCTTTCTCTTGCCTCAGGTATAATGCACTCTGAAATACTATATCAGATTACTATTTTGGTTTTGCTTCATTTCTTTCTAACCTGTTGAATATCCCACTATTAACCATTTGGAAACTTGCTGTTGATGGTTGAACAGTGCTATGCTGAGAAACAAGCACTTGGCGAAGTGAGCAGTGAGCTTCTCGATACCCAAGTGAACCCTGCGGTGTGGGAGATCAGTGGGCACATGGTGCTGAAGAGGAAGAAAGACTACGAGGAAGCTTCCGAGGAGAATGCATGGAGGCTTCTAGCTGAAGTGTCCCTCTCCGAAGAGAGGTTTGAAGAAGTGAAAGCTCTGATCTTTGAAGCCTGTTCCTACACCTTGAGCGAGAAGGAAGATGAGCACCTGACTCAGGGTGCAGGCGATGACAAACCTCCTCTCGAAGGGACTGGCTCGATCAACAAAGGCAGGAACTGCAACATGGTCTCAGGAACTCAAGAATGCCTGGTTCTGCAGTAGTAAAAGGACTAGTTTCTTTAGTTAAGAAGCCGCAAGAGCTTTGCTTGTGGGGAAGAGTATGGCAGCTGTAGCTTACTAAGAATAAGCAAAACCAGGGTTTGGTTGCTGTAGTCAAACTAGGTTTGCAGTTGTTGGTACCAGGATTTGTGTCTAAAGTTGGCCTACTGTTTATTGCCATATTATTGTGATTGTTGCCTGCCCCTCGTGTGGGCGCGGCGCGAGGGCTTATGTGGTCTGTATGTACCTTTGAGATTCTGGGAAGATTCGCCTTTGTATGGAATGCTTGTTATCTATCAAGATTGGAAAGCTTCAATTAAGACACTACTGTTGATATGCCTGTTCTGCTTGTTTAAGAGAAGCCTCGTATCAATCAAGGGTCCCTGTTGACCCTTTGAACGTTCAAAAGAGTCCAGATTTGCAGAGATTTTCTATGGCACCTTCCTCTCTTTTTTAGTGGAATTAATGGCGGCTGCCTCAGCCGTCTACCTACCAAAGAAGTGGAGCAATTTCCACAAACTAATAGAGAAATTGTTAGGATAGGTTACCATTGGTGGTGCAGCGAAGAGAAAGATGAGTTTGACTGAACTGAGCATCTCTCCATTGGGACTAGGACAACAACGTTTCGTGGTCCATGCACCATGGGACCAGAATGGGAGCAACTACACTGGGAAGGGAAGAGAGCATTGGGGAGCCCAACAACATTACCTATCTCTGAAATAAACCAACCAATCCCATTGGCTTATCAAGTGGGGACTTTTATCATTGTCATCTTCCAACATGAAAAGTGGTGCTCCTTTGACAGATTGCCCAACAGCCCAACACCATTAAGGATTTCCTTTATGGATTTCAGAGGAGAACTAATTTGATTGAAGGATTAGTTTGATTTTGGGTTATAGGTATAAAATGCCTCTTTACTATGTCGTTTTATCAAACATGCCCTTCTACTATTTTTTACATCAAACATGCCCCTATACTTTGGAAAAATTATCAAACATATGCCCTTGTGTTAAAATTTCCATTGAAAAAAATCGTCAATCATGGTTGAACCAAGATCTACAGAACCCGACATCGGCATATGGGAGGTGAAATATCACTTTTTGTCCCCTGTTTTATTTTTCTGGGTCTCGTTGAAGTGAAATTATTAGAATTATTTGGCTATAAAAAGAACCACAAAAATTCTGAAGTGGAATTATTAAGGATATATTTTACATTTGTGTCTCCCAAACCAAAGTTCGACCGTGGTTAATGGTTTTTCGGATGAAAATTTTAACAAAAAGGGTATGTTTGATAATTTTTCCAAAGTACATGGGCATGTTTGATGTAAAAAATAATAGGACATGTTTGATAAAACGACATAGTAGAGGGGCATATTATACCTATAACCCTTTGATTTTTCATTTTTACGATTGTTAAGTTCATGTATTGTGATCGAAGTTATGTATTAAAGAAATTGATAATTGTTAGCTAATATCACCCAATTATGGATGAATATTTTCCAACTTCAGCAGAAAGTTGTTGAATGGCATAATCTCCTCTGGAAACCGTTTCATATTCCCAAGAACTCATCAACAATCTTGTTTGATAATGTTAGATCGAACTAACACTACGAACAAGGAGGAAAAATGGAGCGCGCATGTGGTTATTCGACGCCATCTGCCTTTCTGGGAACGATGAAGGGAACTAGATTTCCAAGACCACTTTCACACTCACCAACCAAGGAGTTTCGACAGCTACCTTCACTCTCACGTCTTCCACTCCCAGGAAATTACCAGGGCAGAAGACGAATCTACCAGGGAACACAAAACAAAAATCAATAGTAAACACCAGCCTCAAACTTATATATCGTTTTCGCTGGATAGTACTTGACACAACAGAGTAACATTTCAAGAGTTGTGTTCAAACTAAGCAAGCAAGAAATTTCAGCAACTGCCTTCACCCTCACGTCTTCAAGTCCAAGGACATTCCCGGAGCAGAAGAAAGAATCTACCAGGGAACACAACAACAACATCATTCAACAGTAACGCACCAGCTTTCAGTAAAAATTACACAACTCATTTGGTCCCGAGTACTTATTCTGTTCGGACAACAAAACTTACTTAACAGTAGTACAGGTGGTCTAACCTCCCCCACAAGCATCTTTCTTCCTTTTTACCAAACACCTTGTATTCATAACAAACGATATGAAAGAATAAGATACACAGGGCGCACTTGGGATCATGAGTAATACCTACATTACATGGTCCCTCAATTCCTTCATCTGATTCCATCAACGACATGTTGTTACACTTTGGAAGGCCATGATGCTTGAGCAGACATGATGATGCCCACAATCACTCCAAACAACCCAAGAGCACTGCCGAATATTTCAATCACGAGAATCTTCACAAAAAGTGATGAGTTCTGGGCATCGGAGAGTGCACAGCTGCTCCCAATGACTCCAACACACACCCTGTTGTCAGACAACAGAGTACAACGAAGTCCCCACAAAAATAAGAAAAGTTGAATTATTCTCTGAATGCAACACGGAGTTTAACGGGTTTCAACCAGTGTAAGATGGAGATACATACCCGCAAACGAGGTTGGCGAAGCCAACAATAATACCAGATGCAAAAATTGCATAACCAGCTCGCAGAGATTCAGGAGCATATATCTGTGAAGCAGGAACACTCTCCAATTTTGTTTGCAGGATAATTGCCACAATGACACCGTATATGGCAACAGCTTCACAAAAGATCACACTGAAATGAACAACCAATCACCGCAAATTATACCCTGAAGGCGTTGTCATCATTCTAGAGGTTACGAATTGGTGAAAGACTGGAAGTCTGTGTCAAACTAGACACAGAAAAGGCAAGACTGCGACAGCACTCCACAAGAAAGAAAAATTCACATCCAAATGTAACCAGATGGTTATATATGCACCAAACAATTGACAATTCTAATACATAGACAGAGGTTATCCAAAACTTAATAGAAAAAACAAATTTCATAATCCAACGTGGAACTGCCACCCCATCAGCTAGGAATAGTTGTGGCAGTCAAATACTTATAGCAGTTAACATGAGTAAAAAAAGTATACTATACTGATGAAGTCGAATTGGAACACGACATAATGCATAAGAAACCAACTTGTAGTCAGTAGTTTGCAACATAGCTTATAACAAAAGAAAAGAAAGAAACTTCAACATCTATCTATCTTCTTCATGCTGTCAGGTAAGGAGAGACTGGATATAATACAGACACTCATAAACCATCTAAGGGGAACTGATCATTTATTGTCACCATTATCAACGTATTCTGTCCTATAAACCTGAAAATTTCATGTACCAACAGACGTTAACGTGACCAACATTCTAGGTTAAGATAAGGAAAGGATTAGATAACCAGGATAAAACATTTTACACCAGCTTCAGCTCCGGACTAGCAAACCAGACGCAGAGTGTAAACAGAAATTCCAGATTTAAGCCAAGCATCTAGCCAATGCAATGAGGAATCTTATGTCCTAAATCCAATTTTGGATCAAGCAAAACAACCACAATGTGGAATGTCGAAGAAGCTCGAGCTCCCTGGGTTGCAGAAGAAACAGAGAAATGTAGGCAATACCTAAGCAATTCCAAAACAGATCCTTCTCCCTTAAATAAACAGATAAAGACCACCTCTTTCATCGTTCAATTTGACCTTCTGGCACTCTGGCTAGTGAATTTAATTCGATTCTAGCCAAATGCAGATTACCAAGTTGAATCTAAATGCCAGTGAGTTTGATTCTTCGGGTAACTACTTCCAAAACACCGAACAGCTAAAGTTCAACTGCAGCGTCTTAATATCATCGGATCATCACCAAGTACCAAATTTAGAAACAGGCATGCACAACTGGTTCAGGAAAGCAGACACCAAGAATGGAAGAGAAGCAAGAACGTAAGAAGTTCTAAATTCAGGCACCTGATTAGATTCTTAGAGGTGATGCGAGGAGCTTTGATTGCAGCTCCGATCAAGCTACTTCCGGTGATGTAAATCCCCCTGCAACAACCCGATCCCAACCCATCAAATCACGTCAGAAACACATTCAAGGAACCGAAATCCACACTGATCAAATAGAACAACTTCACTTCAAAACAGAGAAACAACCGCTGGCATATGAACGAGCATACCAGGCAGCGCCGAGGACAGAGACTCCGATAGAGATGGCGATTCCGATGGCGGAGAAGGTGTACGGAGAGATCCTAACGAGCGCTCGAGCCCAGGAGCTCGCGTCTCCTACGATTACCGCAGTAGCCATTCTTCCTCCCCTTCGACCGACGACCTTGTGCTGAAATTATGCTACGAAGGAGCGACAATCTTCTTCTGGTTGAGCAGTGATTTGATCGGCTGTCGACGAACCAGAGAACGATTTGATCTAATGGCGCTGAGAGATGTCGTGGCTCGGCCAGAGCCCGTTTAGCCCATCCACGGAAACCGGCCCGGGTCAACCCGCCTGACCCGGCTGGCGAAAATGCAGACTTTAAAAGACAATCTTATGAACTGGGCTGGATCAAACGGCCCGTCTCCAGGTCCAGCCCGATATCCCTCTTCAACCTGTTCTGTTTCTTCTTCAATGCGAAGATCTTCGTAGCTGGGTTCTCTAGTTCGAAGGAATACTGGAGTAGGGTTTATCGAGGTTTCCCCCCACCAAGATCGCTGCAGCTCTTTCCAGGTCAGTATCTTCTTCAGCTTGTTTCCTTTCTGCTCTGGTAGCGACTCATCTAGGGGTTTGGTTCATGTTCCCCAATCTTCTGTGCAATTGGATTTCCTTATCGTTTGTTCGTTCCTATGCATTGCCCATCAGTTGTTCGACGTTATGTCCCCAGTAGCTTGGTTTGGTGATTCTTCTCACAGTGCGGAACAGTCTGCCATTTCTTATCCAATTGGACTGTTGAGTGGATTTGATAATGGTTATTAGATAGAAATTTGGGAATTGCATTACCGAAGGAATCCATTTTCGTGGAGAAATATTCCAATAATTCAATTGACTTCCTTTGAGTCAGCAGAACTTTTAAGCTGGTTGTCCTATGGGAATCTCTTACAAATGGCACTAGTTCAGCCTTTTCTGCTCTGTGGTTTGGCTTTCTTATTTATCTTGGAGGTAGACCAGAAAGGTCAGGTCTTTTTGCGTAGATGAATTTCCTCATCGTGATCACTGATCAGAGTGCTCTCTTTGGAATGTGAAACTCTGTTCGGTTCTTCTTTAGCTTGGTGGGCATTAGGCAGCTACCTCTTCTGTTGCCATCCTTCATTGTTTGTGTTTCCTCGGACCTTGATAGATGGTCTTCCCAATTTCACTGTGGTAAATGGATGCATATGATGCAACCCTGTTGGAGACTTGGTGTTGTTCTCACGTTGATCTTTCACAAACTGATGCTTGATAACAGATTCGGTCGAAATGAAGAAAGGAGCTCACCCGCAAAGGCAATGGATATCTTATGTCACGCAGAGTGGCAGGTTGATGAATGTCATGATGACCAAAATACACAACACTGGTAAAGTTTACCACTTCAGAGCAAAGCGGCAGATGGCTGAAAGTCTGGGGCAGATTGCCAAGTTCAAGCGTCGCTATGGTCAGGAGAACGAGGAAGAAACCGAAAAAGGGAAAAAGGATCCTTCAAATTGAGATTCGAGATTGCATGATTTATGTTCTCTATTGAGGAGGGCCAGGAAAAATCCTCAGCTTTTGATCATACTGCAATTTAGCTTCCTGGCTTCCTGACTTTCTATCAGACTATAAATGTGGTGGCTGAAGACCACAGTTGCTTCTTGTAATAGTTATTTATATCAGTTTGAGCAGAATCAATATTTGAATATTGGTAGATTCCAAACTATTTGCATATTATTACCAGCAGACAGCAGTAATTGATGACTAGGATTTCTTGTAAACTACATTCAGGAATCTCTTGAAATCCATCCACTCTTGCAATTCGTTCATTCCAACTTACATCCACTTTGAAAATCCATCATTGATACAATTCATAATCAGTCAACTGTGAGATGATGCATTCTTGTTCCTCGCTCAATTCATCGAAATTGTCCAGGGTCGGTCCTTCGAAACATTTTCCAATCAGGTTTAATTGAGGACAGTTTTCCAGACCTTCATATTCTAACGGATGCGAAAAGAAAACAATGACAGCTTAATCAAAGGTCACAACTTTCTTACCTGAATCCTAATGGGAACAGGAAAAGGCAAAAGTCGGCTACAACTGGGAAAGTTTCCGCATTGGTGAAGTATGAGAAGACGACTTTCTTCATGCTTTACCACATTTCTTGTTCTTTAGAAAATTCACAAATAAGGTAAGAAAAACAGGTTAAGTACAGTCGACAGTTACTTGAATTCCAAAACAAAAACAGCCTCCCAGTCATAATGAGATTACCACCTTTCATTACACGACACCCATGTATGGAAAACATGAGTTTGCCTCCTCTTACAAGCTTCTTCTTCTCTTGCAAATTGACAACATAACTAGATTGCTTGTAAAAGGCTTTGCACCTTTTGTAATTTGTATATATATAAAGCTTTCTCATTCTGGTTGTCTGGGATATGTATCCAAACAACATAATATGCAGTTGGAAAATGCTCGAATAGCAGCGACCTTGTTCATGCCATTGCTGCTATTTGTGCTGGCAAATGGGGATTCAATTTCCAAACAAGGACACTACTACTACTACAACGTGTCGACGCACTCATCACCATGGCTGAAGAAAGTGAGAAACCATCACCAGCAGCCTCGAGACCCCGGCTGCTCAAGAGCGCCATGGATATGCAGAGATCAGGGTGTCAATCATCACGACCCACCTGGACCGCGGATGCAGTGTTGCAGGAACCAGTGTGTAGATGTGTCGTCTGATGCAAACAATTGTGGCTGGTGTGGGATCAGCTGCCCCTTCACTTGGCAATGTTGTGGTGGATTGTGTGTCGACAGCAACGTTAGTCCATTCAACTGTGGGAAGTGCTTCAACAGATGCCCCTGGGGAGTTCAGTGTTCTTTTGGGATGTGTGGGTATGGCGGTGATCAGCCACAACCATGGCCTCGCCCTTGGCCACGACCACCGTTTCCTTTCCCGCCTAGGCCACCAGAACCATGGCCTCGTCCTTGGCCACGACCTCCGTTCCCTTTCCCACCTAGGCCTCCAGAACCGTGGCCTCGCCCTTGGCCACAACCGCCGTTTCCTTTCCCACCTAGGCCACCAGAGCCATGGCCTCGTCCTTGGCCCCAGCCGCCATTTCCCTTCCCTCCTAGGCCACCACAGCCATGGCAACCAGATCCACCCGGTCACCATAAGGAAAGAGGCCATGGAATAAGCCCTTAATAATGGTTAGAAGTTATGTGTGATTTTTATCTTTTAAGGCACACCATCAGAGTCAGCAGTCCAAAATAGCTAGTTAAAGCATTGCTTCTCTTTCTGTGTCACCTCATGATGTTCAAGGTTGTCCTTTCTCTGCTAGGTTGGCTGGTCACTGGTGTAATTTTCTGATTTTCAAGTTGCAGCAAGAAAAATATACAAAACAAAGCGTCTTAGTTGCCATTCCTTGTCTGCTCAAGTTGTTGTCGACAAAGTACTCTATTTTATAATAAAGATCTACCACGGACAAGTAAACAGTAGATTATACTGATAACTTAAAGGGACTAAAATAACCCAGATGAACTGCTGGTAATGAGTTTGCATCCCCCCATCTTGAAGTACAGGATTTCATGTAGAAGAAAACATTGCAAGACAAAACTATTTGGTCTCTAGTAAGTAGGGAGATCTGGATCCACCTCACGAGCCCAGCCCTCTAAGCCACCAACGATATCTTTTGCAGAGGGGAATCCCATACTCTGCAGCAATTGAACTGCTCTCTGTGAGTCGTTGCCTCTTCTACACATCACGTAAAGGCCAACAATAGGTGACTCCGAGCTTTCACTGCTCCTGCGATGTTCCTCCTCTTTCAAAGCTGAAGAGATCTCAGGCAGCCTGCCCTCCAAAGTCGATAGAGGGATATTCATGGCATTTGGAAGTGAAACAATCTTGAAGTGGTGGCCTGGTCGTACATCGATCAAAACATATGGTTCTCCTTTTGTCACTTTCTCCTTGAACTCGCTGCTGCTGATTCTAGATTCTTCTGAAAGAAGGTTGAGCTTCAAGGGAGCCTGCATTCATATTGAAAGATTCTTGAGTTCTTCAGCCATTGATAATTCATGAGTTACTGCTATTTGTCAGAGCGGGGATCTGAGTGAATACCGCTGACAAGGGAGATTGAGTAAAATTCTCGTAATCAAAGTTCTTAAATTGCTCTTTGGTAAATTTAGTACTTTCTCCACAAACTTCACAATGTATTGACTTCCCTCTGATCTTGACCTAAGCAAAATATTTAACAGCGCATCAATGAAAGCCTGTCGAAATTTGGATAACAGAGATTAAATCAAACTGCTTGAAGGTACACAAGCTGGTAACATACAATCCGAACTCGTGCTGATAATGCATCAAGTAGAAGCATGCGTCCTGACAACGGTTCCCCAATAGCACTAGCAATTTTAATGGCCTCTAGAGCTTGTAGGCAGCCAACTATTCCAGGGACTGCGAACATTAAATCATAGTTACAACAGCAATCTTGGTTAAAGTCAACTGCCTCAGTTCTAAAATTAATATGCACCAGACAAGTACAAAACACTGGACATCATATATCGCCTGCCTCGACGGTAATAGGAAAATGCACTTATGACGGCTCGCATATGGCAAACATATAAAATTGAAATCAGGCGAAATAAATTCTTGGCTTACCCACTCCTAGGACTCCATTATCTGAGCACCTTTGGCAAGCTGTTGCAGGTGGTGGAGTTGGGAAAAGGCATCTGTAGCATGGCCCTCCATTGTAATTATAGACTGTCAGCTGAACATGAAAGCGACAAGATTTATTTGGGGGAGGCAGATCAAGTAGTTTTTGTGTATGGTGCAGCAAACAGTAATCAGATTATGGATGAAACATGGCGTACCTGACCCTCCAATCCCAATGCAGCACCCGACACAAGAGGCTGGATATGAAGGAATAGGGAACAGTTAGCAACTAGACAAGAGGGTGAAGTATTCGGAATTCAGATCCCATATGGGACATAAACACATTCAAACAGATCGTGGATTTAATGTACCCTCCCCAACACGACACAACAATCACTGATCATGTAACGGCTTGGTGCATTATCTGTAGCATCTACTACAATGTCATATCTGAAGCAAGATGGTAGCAAGTTGAAACACCAATAAATTAAGTAAGATACAGAAATGCAACCACCAAGGGGCTACAAAATTCCATAGAAATTTCAATCACAAGGATACTGGCTCATAATTTCAATCGCATTGGATGTCCTTAATGCTTCTTGGTGTTCCACTACCTGAATTGAGGAGTTGATTCTGCAGAGCCAAAATGGACAGGAAATTCAAAGATGCAGCAAAAGCCGAAAAACTTTAATTAATAGAATCTGAAGCCCTGCAAGTAGATATCTTTTTAACTCATTGTTTTATGCTAATAAGCAACTAGGGTTCGAGTCAACAACCTAAAACAAAATCTATGCAGGATCAACAAAATGATTAACGTACGAGCGACAGGCAGCAGCAGCAGACTTCACTTTTGGTTGGCCGATAAACGCTTCAGTGTGTATAACCTGTGATAAAATGTACAACACCAAGAATTACAAAACCAATCACGCAAAGTTCAGCAGAAACGTACACTAACTAGAAACTTCACCAAACCCAGTTTATCAAAGTGAACTAGGCAATTAGGCAGTACATTTAACCCGCCCCAAAATCTCTCATGATTCTATACTAATACTCTATATAAAGGTAGAAGTACATAGCAACAGGCAACAAAAATTACCTGCCTATGCATGTTATTAAGTTCAACAACATCATGATCGACGATACCCAACCGGCCTACACAGAAAACCACGAAATCAGAATCACAAAACTAACCGGAGAGGGGGGAAAACCCTGTCTTGAACGAAGAAACTAGAGATCTAAGTTATTACCAACACCAGAAGCTGCAAGGTACATCAGAGCAGGGGCGCCTAATCCTCCAGCTCCAACCACTAAAATGGAAGACTTGACGAGCTTTGACTGCCCTGCACAAATTTCTCAGCCTAACCCATAAATGCCTTGTTTCCTTAGCGAATTGGAGAAGGGGGAGAAAAAAACGGGAACTCAGAAAGGCCTGACCTTGAACTCCGAAAGAGGAAAGGAGGAGGTGGCGGCTGTAGCGGTAAATCATATCCGGCGATAATCCGTGAGCCAGGGCAGAACCAACGGCCGAGCCGCCTGAATGACAAGACCCGTTGGCACAGACGGCGGGCTTCTGGAGGTTCAAGTCGCGGAGCTGAGCTTCCAGAGCTCGAATTCGGCTGTCTATGTCGCTTTTGGCGGACTTGAGGGTTTCGAGTTCGGCGACGATACGAGCGGCGTCATCCCCGTTCGACTCCATCTATATGGGGAAGGAATTTTCACGGCGGACGGTTAAACTGAACAGCAAAAAACCAGCAGCGGTGTTGCAGGAGTGCAGAGGGTGTAAGTAAGAAAACTGATAAATTGGAGGGAAAGGTTGGAACTTTAGAACCCTAAACTCAAAAGGAGGATTAGGGAGTTGAAGTGAGACTGCCCTGCGGACTGGGTTTTGTTTGATGGCACAGAAACTGGACCAACCGCCGCGTACGTAGAATGAGGGACAGGCAGGGAAGGGGCATTTTCGTCTTCAGTGAACAAGCCAAGGGCAACTGCCAAAGGCCAAGAGTTGTGTCTGTCTAGGGCTGGAAGTTTGGTACCGGTATTTGGGATATACCGAATACCGTACCGAATTTGTATATATTTGGTATTACCGAATACACGTATTATTTCTTTGGATTGAGATTGAGATTGAATTTCAATTGTTATTCGGTATTAGGGATTACGGGATTGGGATCGGGATATACCGAAATATCGATCAATACCGAAATATAAGCTAGTTTGTATTTTATCCTCGCAACTAGACTCTCTCAGTTACTACTACATGACCCTCAACCACCAAAAGTATCATTTAATTATACACAGATCTTTCGATCACTATTAATAGTCGTCTCTCAACCTCCAATTCGTCAAATTAAAGATTATCAATGACAAGAACTTGAGATGTCTCCTCTCCTCCATTCTCCTTAATAATATCATAATTCAAAACTCTTTGCTTAGTCTTTTTACCCTAAATTAAATAATAAAATCTAATTTATATATTTAATTATTAATTGCAAAGATAATTAATTTCGTATTCGATAATACCGATTGGGATACCGAAGTACCGATTGGGATACCAAAATATTTAGGGATTGGGATACCGAAATAATTTTGGGATTGGGATTGACTTTAGGGTGTAATTCGGTATTCGGAATTTCGGTATTTGGTATTGGGATACCAATACCGTACCGATTTCCACCCCTACTGGGGACTATAAGCTCCTCGTTTGGAGTCTTTATTTTGCTTTTCGTGTCACGCCTAACCAAATTTGCTAGGTTATTCACAATTTATGTGTAAGAATCATTAGGGTTCGGAATAGTCGAATTGTGTATGAACACTTTACGATCGTTGAATAGACCTGATGAGTTTAGATCGCAAATCTAGTAAAAACAAGCCCTTTTCGAAAACAAATCCATCATCTCGATACTATAAGCTCCTCGTTGTAGTCGTGACCAAAAAAAAAAAAAGTACAACTATGTTTTCAAACCATCTGTCATGATGATAAAAGACTAGAAACAATCAACGATGAGATGAATGAAACTGGGAGAGCACAAGCAGATGAATAATTACCAAGACGAAAGCTATTTAGGGTCTCAACAATATCTCCCATAGATAGATCGGTACATACCTAGCCTCCGTGGAGATTGGGGATAGTATCATAGTAACAATCTACTCACGAAGAATAGAACCTAAAATCTCAGTAATAAAGATAACGACTGTATATCAGACATAGCACGGACTGTATATCAGATATAGCTCTCCCCACACAGAACATAGACTACTTCTCGGATACCACTAATTCACAGAATAACTAATATCTTACATCTACCGTAGCTCAAACGGATATATATCTAGGCGATTGCTGCACCGCCGGTCTGGTGGAGCATTGCATCTATCTCATCTCCATCCTCCATCTCCAGCTGCAAGACAGAAAAGCGGGGATCAGCAACAAAGCAGACATGTTTCAGGCATATGGCCAGTATAAGAACACAGCAAAAGATAAAAGGAGGAAAGACAGAGACCTCGTCCGGAGTCTGCTCAGCTCGCAGCCTGCGGCCATCAAACAAGAATGCAATGGAGTTGAGGTCAACCGACTGACGGTCACAATATGCACCCATAAGCTTCTTCAGTTGAGTGCTTCTCTTGATCCTGAAGAAGACTTCATTCCCATCCTACAAAATACAGCCAAATTAGAATAACGTGTTCCAGAAAACCAAGGAAATTCTCATCTAAGAACAGAAAGACCGCTAGACTGATCTAGGAAACTATACACCCAAGTTTCCTAAACTAGATATCTCCCAATACCTAAGCCACCCAAGGTAAACTAGATATGCAGATAATAGATCCCACTGTAAACAACAATCCAAGAGTTGATTAGACAAAACCAATACTTAATCGAATCCCAGTTCACCAAACTAAGATACTTGCACCAACAATCTAAACGTGCTTGCACACTCCAGTTAAATGAACGGTAAGTGAAATGTAAGGGAACCAATAACACAACCATGAAAGTTCCCTTCGGTCCTTCCTTCTGTAGAGTTTTGAACTTTGCGGGGACAAGCTATGAGCATGGTTGAATCACTGGGGCACAAGTACAGGTAGCTATACCCTTAAATAAGGAACAATAAACTCAACCAAGCTTTTGAACAAATCAGAACATCAAAGGTAAGCCAATGACAACATACATAGCCACCACTAAAACCCATCAAGAGTTCCCCGGAAGGGCAAGTCAAACCATGAATATAAAAAGAACGCGACTTCCCACCAGGACGGGAGTTTCACACGATGGACTAAAATTACACAGGCCCATAACATATTCGACCAAAGAAACGAAATTCGAAACCCTAAATCTAAACAATCAAGCACACAACTTATTACCCAGAACGGAAAATAAACATAAACGAGACACCAAGAACACGATCTCACAAAAGCAGTGCCCTTTCAGAACGAAGCTAGTCGAGGGGGAAACAAAGAGTTAAAGAGGGAATCAAACCTGGCCCTTGACCTTGAGATTGATATGGGCTCCCTGATCTGCTGGCTTCTTGTCTTCCTCATTAGTGACTCCCGACATTTTTTGCTTCCTCCTCCTCGCTTCTTCGCCTCTACAGCTGTGATCCACTCCGATTCTCCGACGAATGAAACACTGCTGATAATCGACGCAAACAGCTCTTCCCTCTTCTCGGCCGGATAAAACAAATATTTAAAGCGGAACGGGGGAAATGGAGGAGGCGCAGTGTAATGGACGGGAGCGATGGCTTTCCTTTATATTGATCCGACGGCCTAGAACGACAAGGAAAGCATCAACCAGTCAACGGTTTGTGCTACTTATTCTGGATCTAACAAAGCGGAATCAGTGGATCGGCCCATTTCTGATCCAGTTGGGTTTGGGCCGCGGAATATATTGAGCTGCATACATGGAAAATCAACCTTTTACAAAGGGAAGGACATTCCAAAAATGGTCAAAGCATTGTGTCGATGTTTTAGTGAGTTATGAGTGGGATGAATGAAAGATTTAGTAGGCATTTGGGTATTGATTTCGTGACTTGATGGTTCCACAATGTAGAGGACCAAACGAGCATGAAATGTTATAAATTACTAATGATATGTGATACGTTATCCTAAAATAGAAAACTGCTCCTACCGACATTGAAGTTCCAAAACCCAAAGCAGATGGCAAACTATAAAATGCCAAGAAACATTGGAATCGAGAAAGGGTATGAAAACATAGTGGACCCGGCCATTTGGTCGGAGGAAGGTAAGGTATGAAATTTGATAATGTAATGGGGTATATAGTTTATTGTTGTATAGTTTTTTTCTTAAACACGTGATAAAAATAATGAATTTTAGTAGGAAAGAGACATGAATGATGCAACAAATCAAAAATCAGCTTTATGAACCAAAATCAAGTACCTGTTACCTTGTGAAACAATATTGTTTCTGGTAATATGATGAGGTGGAGTAAGTTTTATAGAAACCGAATTCCAAAAAATCGAATAAAAAATCGCCTATCCCGCCGGTTTTCGGGAAATGAGCATCTCACAATCGTTGCTAACTTTTACTCGGCCAGTTGGCCGATTAATTTGCTTTATAAAACTTTCATCTTGTCATCATTGTGCTTTCTGGTTTTTTGCCAAGCCATGATAAAATCTAAAGAAAACAAGAATGAACAACACAATTTGGGATAGGAACCACCGTTCCTGTATCTCTAGAAAATGGTGGTAAACACGGACTCACCTGCCAAACTGGTTTGGATTGAGATTTTTATCGGGTATCAGGGAACCATGTGATTATAATTAGACTTGATCAAAATGGGCCAAAACTTGAAATTCAGTCGGTTTGACCGACTCATGCTAAACTCTAATAATTCTTTACTTTTAAACTTTCTATTTGAAAATAAGAAAAATAATGAAAGAAAAGAGATGACTACAATTCGCCATTTTCACATCACTGATTCGGAAATAAAACTATAGAATTTTGAAAGGAAAATGAAAATGTTTAGGATCGTTTTAATGTTAAAAATAACCAAACAGATCTTTCTGTTTAGTTTTCTACTAACAAATACCAAACGATTCCCTATAATATACACTATAATTTAATCATTATGATATCAAATAATTACATAATATATATTTGAAATGATAAAAATTGGACTAATTGGGTTGGTCGAGGTTGAACCATTGAATAACTTTAAAATACATTTTTTAGCCACTAAGATATAAAATAATAGCATAATATATATTATGCTAGAGAAAATAACTTGTTTTAGAATGGCAAACCCATGATGTTCATTTGTTTTACTTGATGGGCAAATCCCGTGTAGGTCAGGCCCATTCAACTCTTTTATTTTATGATTAGCGGTTAGCCCATTAGAATCCATGCATTGGTTTATTGTTAAATTTTTTTCTTTCTAGCAATAAAAAGGATAAATAAAAGGACTTAAAGAAAAAAATTGACACTCCTGGACCCGTTTAAATCTGCATGTGTACGGTAAGTTGGCCCGTTCCACAGAGGAAAAAGAAAAAAATTGACACTCCCTATTCTACCCTTCCTACAAACGCTGCTGGAGCAAGGAATTTGAAATGAGGGAAGGATTTTTTTTCCTCTCTACGATTATATGTTTTTAATTTAAAAAGATACAACAAATGTACTTAGCGTGATTGGTTATGATCTTTGCTTTTCTTTAAAGTGGTCATGGTTCGAATCCTAGTAAGTGTCTTTTTAATGAATAAAAAAAAGTAATTGTGAAGACCAAAATGTCATTCCTACTTTCACTCTGGATGAAGGAAATTTGAAATGGGGCTTCAAGTTTTCTCATTTGGCTTTTATTTATTGTGTAAATAGATACGGAAAGATTGCCCGCCAATAAAATTATTTAGGCAAATGTCAAGCTTGGCCACTGAGAATACTAAAAATGTTCATGTTTTGTCATTAAAAATATTTAATTCCACTCGTAGTTATTAGGTTAGTAAAAGCGTTCAAATTTGGGAACGCTAAGTTAGTCTTTGTCCGCTTGTGTTAACTAAGTCCATTATTTGTTGATATGGCTTACAGAAGTGTCTAATCAACCTCAAACTTGTTGATGGCTCACCACCAAAAGATCTCACTCTCTACAAGCAGGTGCTTGGTTCTCTCTCGTACCTATTGTACACCCGCCCCGAAATAGTTTTCCCCGTCAACAAGCTATCACAATTCATGCATGCCTCGACCCAACTCCATTGGCAACATGTGAAACGCTTTCTCTGTTATCTCTGTGAGATAACATCTCTCGGCCTTCACCTCTCTCCTACAGCCACACCTACTCTTGTTTCCTTAACCAATTTTGTCTAAGTGGGAGATCTTGATGATCGCACGTCCATCATGGACTGTCTCATTTACTACGCCGACAACCTTGTCTCATGGAAGTCGAAGAAACAATGTTCAATGGCTTGCTCAAGTACGGAGGCCCAATACAGCGCACTCGCTTATGCCACGTTCGAACTTTTGTGGTTACAAAATCTACTTCAGGAGCTACATCATCCTATCGCCTGCCCACCAGTTCTCTACTGCGACAACCAAGGTGTCGTCAATCATGTACTTAGTGGTTAGTTAGCTCCCTATTTGTACAACAAACAATTGTCAGTCTAATTGGTGGATCGACACACTTCACGTTGTAAGATTGTGCGTTCGTTCCTAGCAACGACGTTTTCCCATTCCCCCTCTAGTAGCACCTCTTGTAACGTGTTGTGAATAATAATAAAAAAAACTCCCTATTTGTACTAAGTGGGACATCTTTTGTAACACCTTAGGCGAATCCCACATCGAC